ATTTTACGCAAACTTGAATGTTACCTCAGGAAAAAATTCATTAAAAATTTTCTAATTCGATTAGGAAAAAAACAACAGACAAATTTTTAGATCTAATGTTTGTGAACACGCATGCAAAAAAAAAATCAATTTCCATAAGTGATAAGTGCGGTATTCATTACGTAAGACATGTCAATAAAATCCAATATGGCGGCGTATCCATGGAAACGAAATTTTTTTCTCAAATTTGATTGCGGATTTCAAGACTCCTTACTATGCTTGTTATATGTGTGAAATGTGTTAAAATTCGGTCCAGTAATAAGCGAGATAGCCTCCAAGTGTAGCCCCCCCCCCTTTCTTAAAATCAACAATGTTGATGTAAATTCCAAAGTTTGTTACATTCATTGGTGTGAGGATTGTTTTTTTTTATGAGTGATGAAGACTCTTAAACAAACACCCGAGATATGAGTTTACTAAATCTTGTGTTCAGATGTTAAAGTTATTTTTTACCATTTAAAATCAGCAATGTTTTAAAATAATATTATGTTCTAATTAATTCATAACAAAAGATGTAGATTCCAAACAAAGTTTGTTACATTTATTGGTGTGAGTGTTAGGATTGTTTTTATGACTTTAAAATTGACATTTATTTATTGAGTTCCTCTAGTCATACCAAACTCTAAAACATCAGATCATCTCTTAAGTCTCTGTACATAGTGGTGTTGCATTCAATTATTTTTTAAAGTTATCTAGTCGTTCCATAATTTTAAAAGTTTGGACCAAGTAAAATCTATTTTAATTTTCTGTTCTTAAGTTATGTTACATTTGTGTTGAGGCATGGCGGAATCAGGCTCTCGTCAATATATTGGTGTCTTTACGTAACAGCAAAAATTTGGACGGTGGTCTCGTTAAAATTAATTAATTTACGTTCCAAAAGATTGTTATATATATATATATATATATATATATATATATATATATATATATATATATATATATATATATATATATATATATAGATCTACATGTTCAATTTCCCACTAAAAATAGTGTCGAATGTTCACTAAAAATTTAAAACTAAAATCGGACCTAAATTTGACTTGACGAGAGCCTGATTCCGCCATGTCTCATCACATTTAATCAGTTTTTCGTTATTAAGTTTTACCAATCAATCATTGATTTTATGTAACTTGTACTCGTGATAGCAGTAATATTTTTTTTCTTTTACACATTTTGTGAAATGCTGAAATAAAAATAAAAATAAGTTAAAATTTACAAAGCACAAACAATGTATTATTCATTGCATTTTGTAGTGGTTCGATTACGTCATCAAACAGGGGGGGGGGGGGGGGTTAGCCAATCGAAGACATGTGATGACAAGGGGGGGGTCAAAATGGGTCATTTTTTAATGACATAATATGTGAACGTTCCCTAACTGTTTCTGTGTTATAATTCGGACTTCGACACACTGCTACTCCGTGTACCCTTGGAAAAGGTACATAAACCTCCATTTGTCACCCCACCCAGGTGTAAAAGGGGTAGATCTACCAACCAAAGACAGCGAAGGTTTTGTGATTGTAGGTGCTTCGCACGTAACAGGAGGCAGCACCTGTAAGAGATGCTGTGTGATTATTGTAGTCGTTGTCATTGAGTCTGTGGTCTTCGGAATGTTATGGCCGGTCGGGGGAAAATGTTGTGAAGCACGTAGTCCAGATCTAGATTGAATTGAACGGCTACAGGTCCCAGACGGCAATTAGTAAGAGTCCATATGAGTCATTATGAGTGCTGCTTTCCAGACGGCTCTGGACGGCTCCGGACGGTTCCAGACGGCTCTAGATCTAGAATCTAGATCTAGATCTAGATCTAGATTAAGGGTGGGCCGACTCCGAGAACTTCCGAACTTTCGACTCCGAACATTTTTGGGCGCGAATTCGTCGACTTCGACTCCGAATTCGAATTCAGGTCAAGATAGCAGCCAATCAAATTTGAGGAAAGGCACGGTCAATTCGGTGGGATTCGTGTCAAGTCAAGTCGTTCTCCCTTCATCCGTCGAGTCGAACACGCTATACTGTATGTAGAGAATCCCGACGCCACGGACCGGTGCAGACAAAGGGGGCGGGGAGTGGGGAGGTGGAAGGAGCAGGGAAGAGGTCACAGGGGTCGGAATTGAGGAACGCAATGTTTTCATTGACATCAGGAGAGGGCACCAGTTTGTTTTGAAAGTTATTTGCCCCTCGTTGACAGCCGCTTTCAGGTGCGAGGATAATACATGTACTAATAATAGGCTAGTTGCACAGTGCGCTATGATGCGAGTCTCTCTTTTTGACTTTAGGGGGTTTTTTTGTTGTTTTTTTTTTTTTGGGGGGGGGGGTTGTTTTTTGTTGTTGTTTTTTTTTGTCTTTTTAATTTCTTTTGTTGATGCAGTTCAGTAAATTCAATTTCCATCCTTTAAAAAACAGAAAGCTTTTCATTCATCCTGGCAGCACTGACAAGGTCAGGGCACCTCATTCACACAAATGGACATTAAAAAATGAACAAAATTTAAGGTTTACTCATTCAAACTCCAGTCATACCAAATCAACCGCACAAGAGAAAAGCATTTAAAATTTTAAATTCTTATTTAAGAAAAGCACCATGTTGATTGTGGTGTCCTTGAGGTTAGCACGTCTCTGCGACACAAGCTCCCCAGCTTTTGAAAATAGTCTCTCAGATGAGACACTTGTGGCAGGGCAGGATAAAAATTTCATGGCTTGCTCCTGCAGCTGGGGAAAGAGTCCACAATTTTGCTTCCACCACAGAAGTGGACTTTGTTGCCGAGGAAGCAAATCTCCTTCCAGGTGCCTGCGCAACTCAATATGTGGGCCCAGGGACGGACTGGGTCTTAAAACCGGCCCGGGCATTTGTCATCCGTACCGGCCCACTAAGGCCTAGTAGAACATGCAAAGCCAACATCTTTCTAAGCCTCCATACTATTATTATGTTACTAGTTAGAGCACACAAACAGACAAAAAAAAAACACACCCATATTTATATATTGTGCTTGCGTATTTGTGTGTGTACGTGTGAGTGTACGTTATGTATGTATGTTTGTAGGTAGGTAGGTAGGTAGGTAGGTAGGTAGGTAGGTAGGTAGGTAGGTAGGTATATGTGTGTGTATGTGGGGGGTGGGGTTGTGTGTGTGTGTGTGTGTGTGTGTGTGTGTGTGTGTGTGTGAGTGTGTGTGTGTGTGATAAGCAACTTTGCAATATATAATATATACATGTCGTACAACCAAATCAAAACAACATTAGCACAAGAACTCATCCCGGAGCATTCCTAAGAGAGTAGAAGCCTGCGGCCACAGCATCAATGATGTCTTCATTGTCCAGTTTGGTCAAGATCTCCTTTTCCACTGACACCAGCATAAATGCCTCAAGATAATCTGGTGTCATTGTGCTTCGGTGATAGGTTTTGATTCCCTTCAGGGCAGAAAACGACCGTTCGCATGCACCCTGTGACACATGCAGGGTTAGTTGTAGCTTGTAAGCAACTCCAATGCCTTTGTAAGCATCGGTGAAGAGGTTCAACTTGAGTAGCACCTTGTAACAGCAGAGAGGGCAAACCTTGCATGAGATACATGTAACAGTGGAACTTGAAACATTCTGTGTCCTCAGTTCTGATTCACAGAGAATATCGCTGTCTTTCACCTCACAGTGGTCTGCAACTGACTGCTTCAGTGATTTCCATTGTTCTCCAAAGCTTTGCAATTCTGTTTCAAGCCTTTCAGCGGTGACGTTATCGTCAAATCTCAGTAAATACTTTTACAGCTCTTCCATAGCCTCTGATGGGACTTCATCAAAGTTTCTTGGATGAAGAAGGGACAGGTCAGCAAACAATCTTGGCACTGCAGATCCTTTAAATCTTTGTTCAATGCTGTTAACAAGATTGTTTACAATTTGATAGTACACGTCTTCAAGACAATACTTCTTGATTGGGCCAGCTGTTGATGTAGCTTCGTCTGTACAGAATTGATCAGCTGTGCTTGAATCATATTTGCGCAGCAACTTAACTAT